CCCTAATGTACTGTTAATGTTCCATTTTATTTCTAATATGTGCTTATTAGCTGTAATGGACAGAATTTCTAAGTTGGCCCCCAAAGATGCCCCACTCTAACCCTGAGAACCTGTGAATAAATGACATAGAACTTCTCTGATTATGATGTATGGCACAGTTGACCTTAAGAAAAGGACATTACTCATGTGGACTTAATCTTACCACATGAGCCCTTAAAGGCAAAAAGCTTTTTCAGATGGATGACAGAAGAGAGAAAAAGAAGGGAAAGTCAGGGAGATCTGAAGCACAAGAAGAATCTGATATTCTGTTCCTGGACTTGAATATTGGTGGGCAGGGGGGTGGGGGCGCGGGGTGAGAGCAGGTGCAAGGGTTGGAGAGCAGATCCAAGGAGCTGAGAGTACCTGGCCATCAGTTAACAAGGAAGCATGAACCTCAGTCTTACAGTCAAAAGGGACTGGATTGTACCAACAACCAGAATGATCTTGAAGCTCCTTTCCTTGAGCCTCCAGATAAAGAATGCTCCTTAGCCAGGACCTTGATTTTGATGGCATAGGGCCAGACTAACCCACTCGGACTTCTGACCTACAGAATGTGAACAAGTAAATTGATGTTGTTTTAAGCTGCTAAATTTGTGGTAATTTGTTATGTAGCACAGACAACTAATGCATTAGCTGAAGGTCTCCGTTTCACTGTCTTAGTGGTTCCTCTAGGGTTTACGGTATACATCTTATCACCATCTGCCACCAGATAATATGCCACTTCATATATAACTAAAAACTTAACAACCTACACCTTCCATTTCTTCTTTCCCTTGTGCTATGTCATAATTGTATTTCTAAATATGTTTAAATCCTCACAGTACGTTCTCATATTTCTGCTTTAACTAGTTATTTATTTTTAAAAGATTAAATAAAACAAAAAATAAATCTTTTATATTTATCCACATATTTATAATTTTTAGCAGTTGTCATTGATTGCTTCATATAGATTTGAAGTTATATCTGGTATCCTGTTTCCCATTTTGTTCACATTTCTTGTAGTGAAAGGCTATTGACGATAACTTCTCTCAGTTTCTGTTTGTCTGAAAAAGTCTTTCACCTTTGAGAGTTTTTCCTCCTTGTAGGACTTTAGGGTCCCTGTTTTCTGGCTTGTGTTGTTTTACATGAGAAACCTGTGAAATTTCTTATCTTTATTTTTCTGTATGTGATGTCTTTTCCACAGATTTTTCAGCATTTGATTACACTGTACCTTGATGTGGTTTTCTTTGTTTATACTCCATTTGTTTCATTTCTTGGATCTGCACGTTTATAGTTTTCATGAAGACTTCATGAAGTTTTAGAAGAACTTCAGCCATTGTTTCTTCTAATGCTTTTTCTTTTCTTTTCTAATATTTTTTCTACATGCCTCTCTTTCCTGCTCCTTTGCAGCTCCAATACACTTATGTTAGACTGCTTAATATTTTCTCACAATTCACTGATATTCTGTTGATCTTTAAAATCTTTTTCTTTCTCAGATTCATTTTGAATAGTTTATGTTGCTATATACTCAATTTTTAGATTTTTCTTCTGCAATGTCAAGTTTGCTATTATTTCCACCTAGTGACTTTTAAGTTTCAGGCAATGTCTTTAATTTTTAGATGTTCAGTTTGGTTCTTTTTTAATGTCTTTTTTTTTGGCTCATTATTTTCATTTAACTTCTTGAACTTATGTTCTTGTCTGCTAGTTCCAATATTTATGTCATTTCTATACCTGTTTTTTTATGTTTATTTATTTTGAGAGAGAAAGCTTGAGCAGGGGAGGGGGAAAGAGAGAAAGGGAGAGAAAGAATCCCAAGCAGGCTACACACTGTCAGTGCAGAACCTACTGCGGGGTTTGAACTCACAAACCATGAGATCATGAGCTGAGCTGAAATCAAGAGTCAGATGCTTAACCAACTGAGCCACCGAGGCATCCCATATATCTGTTTTTACCTAATTAGTTTCCTCTTGATTAAGGATTCTTTTACTTCTTGAAAAGTCCAGTGACTTTTGATTGGATGTTGATAGTGTAATGTTGGCTATTGCTGAATGTCTAGATTTTGCTATATTCCTTTAAAAATTGTAGAATTTTGTTTTTGCAGGTATTTAAGATACTGTATATTGGCTTGCTTTTTTCTGTGATGATTGTTTTTAAGTACTAGTGGGGTGGGTATAAAGTAGCCTTTATTCCAAGGCTATTTTAACATCACTGATTAGGTAATAAACTTCTTAGGTCTCTACTGAATTCTTGTTGTAGTCAATAAGGCCTCTCTGGTCAGAACTTGAATACCTCTCCATTCTGAGTGTTCTCTAAAAATCGTTTAACCTACAGCTTGTGGCAGGTAAAATGAGAAAATGACTCTCAGTGATATTCAACATTGTATAATCTCCTTCCTTGGGGTTTTGGAAGATTCTGTGAATACAATCAATCCTGCAGTTACATTACTTTATGTGGCAAAAGGACAATTATTCAAAGTGGGTCTGACCTCATCAGGTGAGCCATTTTTTTAAAAATGAGAGATTTCTTTGGCTGATTGCAGAGGAAAAAGTTCAATATATGAAAAAGCTGATTTATATATATAGTCCAAATGTCTAGCTGTTTATGGTGGGAAGGCAGCACTGGTAGTAGTTACTTGATCATGGAATTTTAAAATTCACTTAATTCACTTAATTTGGAGATTTTAGTAAATCCTGCTATTACAAGCCAATTTTTAAAACTAAAGGAAACTGAGTTAGAAGGAAAACAACAGAAAGAGACTCACCAGCTACAGCCCAAAAATATGAAAACCACTCTTTTATACCTTTTATTTTTAAGTTCTTTGGAAATATTTCATAATAGTGAAGTACACAGAGAATAATACAATAAACTTCTATATACCCAAATAATCAACTTAAAATATAAAATATTACTGATACAGTTGAGGTCCTTCCCCAGTCTTATCCTCCTTGGAGAGGTAGTTGAATTCCATGCTATTAATTCCATGCATTTCTTCATATTTTACTTCATATACATGCATCCTTAAAATTATCTTTGCACTTTTTTGAAATTTATTTTGATGCTGTCAAAATATAGCATTTTCTTGGTTTCCTTTTTTTGTTTAATGTTTTGTTGTGAGAATGAAAAATTGATATGTACTTAGAACTCCACTATATGGATATAGCACAGTTTGTTTATCCAGTCAAATTGAAACATTAAATCCAAATTTTTGAAGCAATGAATGCAGAAATTAACCTTCACATGCATATGACTAGAACACACGTATGGCAGTTTCTCTAGCAAATACTCTCGATAGTGAAGTCATTAGATAATAAAGAATGTACATTTTTAAATCACTAGACATTGACAAGTATTCTTCAAAGGGGTTGTTCCAGTTTGCATTCCTACCATAGGGCTTCTGGTTGTTCTACATCCTTATAAACAGTAGTATTGTCAGAATTAAATTGTGAAAATTATATGGTTGAAAAATGCTATCTCATTGTGGTCTACATTTGTGTTTCCCTAGTAATTGATCATGTAGGGCCCCTTTTACTATGTCCACAGGCCAAATTGGCATGGAGATTATTATTCCCCAGCCTGGCCACTCCAATTTCTCAAAACCCCTTAGGGTCGACATAAAGATCAAACATCTACAGCGATAAGATATGTTATGGAAAGTTTTCCTAAGTGTGAAATTATTCCCTGAGTCATTAAAATTATTTCTGGTCATCACAACATGATTCTTGCCAACATGCTCAGTTATGGCCATCTCAGCTTCTCCTCCTCTGCTTTTTCTTGTTGTAGAAAGCATAACAATAAACCTTAAGTCATTGAAGCTGAAAGGCAGGCTAAGTTATGAGAAGGAATAGAACTTTAGCTAACATTGGCAAATAATGGCAGGATTTGGTCAACTTGGAATAACATGGTAATTGTATTATATGTAAAAATACGGCAGGGTTTTTGTTTATTTGACTAAGGTCAGCAATGGAATCTCCATTATTTGGAATTTTCAAAATGGCTTAGATAAGAATTTGAACAGAGTAATTTGACAATCCAAGTGTGTCAGCGCTATGCTAAATGGAAGCTGGTAATTTTGAGGGTCCTTCTTCCCTTCGTTTTGTGCCTCAATGAGGAACTCATCCACAGAGCTTTCACAGATCCTTTCCGCTGCCAAGATGGAAATTTACCAAAAAATTTTTGTTGTTTTCTAAAGAGGTAGTGAATAACATTGTATCTTTTGCAAATCTGTCATCAGTGAAGTATTTCTGGTAGAGGACACCAGAAAACTTACCCTGAATCTACTCTTGGTGCTAAATGGGTTTGATTTTTGAGCCCAGGGAATATATTTTCTGCCCTTTCCATAATTTGAATGATCATTTGCCAAGCTGTATTACAGTATGCTTCCTGCCTCCACCCACAGCTCTGGATCATCGATACTTTTGCTCCCACATTAGGAATTTCACAGATTATTGAATTGTAGTATTTCAATGTCCTCCCCTGAGATAGTCCAAGTTACACGTAGCTGATGTAAGTAATTTAATTTGTAATTTATTTGGGAATGTACAACTGAAAACTTTTTTGGGGAATATGGTATGGGTATCTATGTTTGTATTACTTTGGAAAGATTTTATTTTAGAAGAACAGAAAATCTGAGAAGGAGGTCCTGTCGTTCAGGTTTGACAACAGAAAATCATTCTGTACCAGTTTTGATTATTGCATTCAGTTGATTTCTCTGTGACTCAAGGACTAGAAGCTTTCTACCACTTCCTTTGGTGGAGAACTTTCCAAATCTAGGAGATTAGAGCATTGGAAGTTTTCTTTACATTCAGACAAAAGTGTCTCATTTATTACTCAGGCTACCTTGATTCTTTTCTTTGCACTTCTTAGATGTTTGTTAAACCCTACTAGTCAATGTAATGACCCCACAGATGTGATATTTTAAAATAATAGACATGTCGTTATGATATTTGATATTTGACACTGCTTTGTATTGGGCCTCTTTAGACATGTACGTGCATGCAGAGTTTGCATTTGTCCCAAGGTGAGCAAAAACAGAAGCAGTGTTTTTAGGATGAATTTTCTCACCTATGATAGCAAGTTGCAAATATCTTATTCTTTTTTTATTTGTAGGGCCAGCTCTGTAAATACGCTTCTGATCATCTCTTATCCTGTGTCATGTTGCAAAGTTGTAGCTTGTTTGCTGTCCTACAGCTGGGGTCTCTTTAGATCTTACGGACTAACACGAGCTGTTGTCTCCCTCCAGGTCATCCAGGCTGTGTTTTTTGGTATTTGCGTGCTGACTGATCTTTCCAGTCTTCTGACTAGAGGAAGTGGGAACCAAGAACAAGAAAGGCAGCTCAAGAAGCTTATCTCGCTCCGGGACTGGATGTTAGCCGTACTGGCCTTTCCTGTCGGGGTTGTGAGTATGATGTACAATGCATTTAACCATAAAAGAAACTTAAAGGGTCTTATTTCAGACTTCTAAGAGAAAAAAAAAAGGGCTCACTTCTAAGAGAAAAAAAAAGGGCTCTAACATTTGGTGTCTGTGATCTGCTTGAGACTAAGCACCACAGGCAGGGGGGGGGGGGGGCAGGGGAGAGTGGCACCAACAATTTATTTTTCTCTAATTCTAAAGACTCGAAGTCTGAAATCAAGGTGTTCACAGTGTTGACTTTTTTTTTTTTCCTGAGACCTCTCTCCTTGGCTTGTACATGGCCTCCTCTCCCTGTGTCCTCACCTGTGTATCCATGTCCTAATCTCCTCTTCCTATAAGGACATCAGCCAGACCAGAGTAGAGCCCATCAATGACCTCATTTGATCTTAATTGCCTCTCTAAAGGCCATTCCTCCAAATATAGTCACTTCTGAGGTACTAGGGGTTAGGACTTAAACATATAAATTCTAGGGAGACACAGTTCAACCCATAACAGCTTCTCTAGCAGCCCAAATTTGAAATGTATGGTCCTTGGATCTATGACCATTCTAGTGTTTTTGAACTTGAGAGAGGAAGTCAACATTAGCTCATACTGCTTCGTTCACCCAACTGTGCCATTAGCTAATATCATTTAAGTACATGCTGCTTAATGTTTGGGTCTGTTCTGGCTTCATTGATTTTCATTATTTTCAGTTAGATGCCCTCCATTGCGTGACTTCCTTCACAGGTCTGTTAATCGTCCATTGTCTATACATAAACTGTGTTTCTTTAAAAGGCCAGGGCCCCATGAGATTCTATAGATTGTAACCTGTGGAGAGGCATGAAAAGAGGGACAAAACTCTTACAGGTCGCAAATTGTGAAAATAAGGAAGAGTGTGTTACCTAATTCAAATTCAGACCTTTCATTTGACATTCATTTCATTCTCAACACAAGGAGATTATTATAATCTGGTCACACTCCTCTGCTCGATCCCTCATCTTTTTCCTTTGAAAACCTAAATGGGTGCTCAGATTGAAACCATCTCACAAATCTCTCAAATTCTGTTACTTAACCCGACAGAATTAGATGCCTTACCTATTGTTTAGTATTTCCTTCTTTGGACTTGACATAGAAAATTCAAATGCTTTCTATCAGAATAGTCATCTAAGAGAAAATTTCCATTGGCACAAAGTATAAAGATTTGTACTCGGTGCATGAAAGAATTATCTGGAATATCCAAGTCTGTGTATTGTTTTGTTTCTTTTTACTGGATTGTTCCCTTGGAATTTCTCTAGGTATGTCATTACCTCTGGAAGTCTTCCTTGGCTAAGAGGAACACAGTAACACAATACAAAAGTAAATAGGAATACAGTATTAACATTTTCTCTTAGCTCTGCCTCTCTCCCTCCGTTGTGTGGTGCCCAACTGTGTTTCTGGGGATTAAATTGTGCCTCTTGCCACTCTCATCAAAGGCACATTGCATATGCCCTTTAGACATTTTTGACATTACTTTGGCCAGAAACTTTTTGCACCTGCTTAGGACTTGAGATGTTTCTCAGCTTTCAGTGTCCTTCCTGAAGTTAGTCGCGTATGCTTCATGGTTTGTGACAAGAATGGGAGACTTTGTGCTTGCTTATTTGTTTGGTTACATTTGCTGTGTTCCTCTGTTTTCACTAACTTTGTGGTTTTCTCTGTGTTTTGAAAAAGGGAAGAGAAGTAATAATACCTTTAATTTCACACCTCCTTTTAAACTGAGAAGTCATATCACATTCCGTTGCATTTGTATACACCTTCCCAGGTGGGAAGCTTCACAGAAGAATAATGAATCAGATGAACAGCTTCACTTACTTTTTTAACTCTTATTTTTTGCTGATATTTTATAGTCCATTTTTTACATTCTTTATAATCTTCCCTGTTAATATATGAGTCACTTTCCTTTTTAGAGCCACTAGCCTTTTCTCTTAACTGAACTTTTGAAGTCCCTCTATTATATTTCCCTCTGTCTCTCCCTCCCTTTCTCTCTCTCTCTCTCTGTCTCTCTGGTATTAGGAAGAGTTTTGGGCCATGTTCTCCAGAAATCTCCAGATGTTTCCCACTGTTTCTTACTCTATCATTTGAGTTTTTGCATCCAGTTTCCCGGTTTCTCAAACTAATACACAGAAATGCATCCTGAGGAAAAAAACAAACCAAAAAACACAAAAAGAAAAACCAAACCCTGGTAACTAGCTGTTTCCCAGACTCCACTAATTTTATAGCAAAGTCATATTTACAAACGACATGAATTTGTCTCTTTATTTGCATTTTAATGCAAACTGGGTTTTTTTCATTAAAATTAAATTTTATGGTTTTTCACCTTTCTTTCCCCAACTTTGTTTCCCAGCTTTCCTTTCCAGTGTGCCCTTACCTTTGCTGTGGCTTCACAGGTTTTCCCTTGCCCCTTCTGTGTCTCTCCCATACCCCGTTTGCTCAGTAGGGTCTAGAATTTCAGTGTGGTTTTATCACTGAACTTTTCTCCCTTGTTAAAATGTGAACCCTCCCTAGAGCAGCGCCACTAGGAATCACTTGAAAAGGTGTCATCTTTACTCTTCTTGTGGCTCCTGGCCTGGGAGGGAGGTGCTCAGCCCAGTGGGTTCATTTCATCGGAAGGATGGGAACAGCACTAATGCCTGGAACCTGATTGACGGACATGTCCTTATACCCGTAGGCATCTATAGTGTGAGAATGCTTATCATGTATGAAAACCATTAATGATAACATTTGTAATTAAACACCTTTTGCCATATTGACTGACACAGAATCCTAAAGGGCAAAGCACCCAAGCACTCACCTGTGCCTGGAGAGCCTTGGGCATGGCTCGAGCTTCTAGGCAGCAAGGTGCTCAGCCTCGGCTTAGAACCTGCCTGTGGTCCCCCGAGGCCTCCAGGCTCTGGCTGCCAGGTGATTGCCAGCCTCACAGAATTCCACTCCCTCGTGGCTCCTTCGGGCCCCCACCTTTTGTTTGTCAGCCAGAAGTTTGCAGAGAAAGTAAAGTTATTTTTGCTTCCCGGTGCAGGGCAGAAAGGCAAGGGGCATGATAAGGGGGCAGAGTGGCACCCTCTACTCCGATTTTCCTGAAGAGACCTCTTAGCCCCAAGCTTTTCCTGTTGCTCCCATTATCTCTCTTTCCTTCTCTCTCTCTCTCACCTCAACTGCAATTGTGGCAGCAAGAAAGACATGGGTAGGTTATCTAGGATTCGTATTGTCTCCACTAATGCTTCCTCCAATAACGAGGTTAATTGAGAGCTGACAGTAATTGCTTGATGTGGGCATGAAGCAATAAATACGATTTTTGTGACCCATGGACCTAATGCATCTACTTCATGAACTCTTTCTCTCGGATATGTAAAAATAATGAAGCATTCCCATCAAAGATAGTTGGCGTAAAGTTTTGTTTGAGCATAACCTTGAAGAAATTAGGCAGTTGCTTGAGTGAGCCTAGCCTGTATCATCCTGATTTGTGCAGATTCCCATAAATGCAAAGCTGGCCTTGATTAGTAACGCTAATGGCCGGAAACCACCACCACTCCCAAAGCCTTGCAACTCATTTTGCAGGGATAACCCATGGGAGGCTCTTCTTACCATGTGCAGTTTATTTCTGAACCCTGTCACCCTTTTAAAGAAGCATTACAAATAACTCTATGACATTATGTGGTCTGGAAGCACTGAAGTTTATTAGGAGCAATCAAACCAAGAATGTCTTTTGTCTCCTGTGAGTTTGTTGACTTTCGTGCTGGCAGATACTCTTCTAGTTAAGAGAATAGGCTAAGGCTTTCAACCAACCAACCAACCAACCAAACAAACAAACAAACATACAAACAAGCAAACAAAAAGATAAAGAGGAAGAGGAGCAACAAAATGAGTATGATGAGTATGAAATGGTTTCTCTCAAAAATTCTAAGTGTGTCTCCAACTGCTATCCAAAGCAGCCCATTTGCTATCCAAAGCAGCCCATTTAATGGCAAAGAACCATCATACATTTCCCATTCATTCAGGTGCGTACATCCCATTTATTTGCAGCTTCTTAGCTTCTATGGGACATGGAATCAAATCTCACCACCTCCCCAGTACCTCTTTGTTTCTTCTGTCACTTGACAGAAGGTAGGCTGTCACTAAACTGACCTTGACTGATTGATGGGTAAAGATGAGGATGTCCCTGTCTGTATAGAGGGGGAGTGGATCCAAGCAGGACCTAGAAATTTGGGTTGTCCTAACCAGGGATGGGCACCCAGGGTATCCCCAAGCAAACCAACATGTGCCAAGATACGATCTTCTAGAATTTGGGCTTTTTACCTGAGTTTAGCCTCAGTTACTTGTTCAGTAACCATTTCTGGTGTTATAAGTATATTCTTGTAAAGACTTGGTGAAGATTTTATATGTACCAACCTAGTCTAGACTGCTTTAAAACTTGTTTTTGCTTGTGATGGGGACTGTGTGGTACCTGCTCCCTTAGGAAATATGGAAAACATAATTAGAAATCTCAAATGCAAACTTAAAGAAAAAGTATCTAGCAGTTACTTTCAAAAAGTGAGTCTTTATTTATTGACATACTAGCTAACTCTGAGCCATTCTTCAGAAAAATTTTGTGAAGCATACAAATTTAGATCATCATATCCCTACAATTTAAAAAACATTGTTTGCCTTTCTGATTTTCAAGCAAGAGATTGGCTTACATGGAAAGCAAACAATTAATATTAATTACTAATATTAATATCTGTTAATGTAACATATAAAGGAAGGGAATTTGATTCTATTTGAGACTGTATGAAGCCAATGCCTTTTCTTCTGTTTTGATATTAAGGGAAAACATTTTTAAAGCGCATTATTTACTTTATTCTACAAACTCTGGATTTAATATAAAAATACACTTAATATCCGCTGATCCTCTCTTTATTAAATTTTCACACAGGTACCTAAAACCAAACTCTTTCCTGTTTTGTTTTGTTTTTTTCAAGACTTCATTGATGTTT